GACTGTAAATGTGCAAAACCTGTTTCCAAATATTATATTCAAATATATTCAAAATATTCCTTTTTCAAATTGCCTGAAAAAGCTCCTCATGCGAGTGTAAAATCTTTTTTTGCGATAAACGGGAGTTTTTGCGAAATGCGTATTTTCAATTCGCAATTTCAATTCGCGCAATTTGAAGGGTAATGGAAACGAAAGCGGAACCGGCGCAAGGAACCAAAACAAACTAGCAAAGAGATTTGCAAAGCACACACCACCCTAGCGTTCTGGCGTTGAAATGCACCGCGATGCAACGCAACCTGACGCAGAACCATAAAACGGCCACGACGCCGTAGGAGTGACGGCGTAGCTACGCCGTGGAGTTGACGCAGAAGTATAATGAAGCCTTAAGTAACAAATCAGAGAACACGGGCGGAAATATTGGCGCTGAGTAAAAAAAAAATGCGGGGGACAGAATCACCTGTTTCTAAAAGTGGGGGGGACGTGTCCCCCCCGTCCCCCCCGGTTGCTACGCCCCTGCTTGTACCCATACCTGATCGAGAAAACTAAATCCAGTCTTTCACTCGGCCTGTGTCCGTTTGAGTCTTTTCACATTGTGTGCGCGGATAAAATACATTCTAAAACGCTGAACAACGCTTAACGGCTTTGTCCTAAAACTGTTATATTAAAAGATCAAATTCTGTACACACCTTATTAATAAAGGATACTATATAGCCTACAGAAAAGCAGATGAGCCCAGAATATGAACGCAGCGCATTTTATTATAGGCTACGTTAAGCATTTTCCTCCCATAGAAAACCATTAAAGAAAAAGCTTTACGTGACTTTCTATAGGAGAAACGTTATATTTCAAGCCTTTATTACAGCTTATGAAAACCTTTTCACAATATTCTAATTTTGAATTTGGGGTTTTCATAAGCTGTGAACTATATCTATATTCATATTCTAGGTTCATCTGCTTATCTGCACATAGAATGGTTTCTTAAGGTGTGTAGCCGTGTACACATACATTAAGCACGTAAAAGTGCCATTTAAGCGTTTTAAAAGCTTTTTTCACGTTAAGCGTTTTAGAACGTCCTGAGGAAAACCAACCTGTTAACAGAAGTGCGATCATGGTTTTCCTGATGCTAAATCCAGCCTTGGAGAATATCCTTTCTGATGGTGTGCATCTTTAGATTTTCTTATCCCAGACATTTTTAAAGATTTAAATCCCTGCCGACACGACGCTCCTCTGTCGGTCACGGATCGAAAGTGAAACTTAAATCTGTCACGGGGTGTTTGGAGTTATTCACGCTGCACGCACGTTAAAAAATATTTATTAAAAGCTTCTTTCTTTGCACATTTTTATTGACAGCATTATCATAATAGGCTGTATATTAACGTATTGACAGAAAACCAGTAGTTCTATGTGAAATCAGACATTGAGCACTCATATAGCCAAAATGACATAATCCTCGTTTAATAACACATCTGCGAAGATTCGACCGTGAGATTGGTAGTCGAATCAGGCTCCTCCTATCGAATCTTCGACTATTCGGGGTCACCCCTAACACACACACACACACACACACACACACATTTCACTATCACATCTGGCGTTTATGAAGTATTTGTGAATCAGGAGATGAGTTTTCGGGAAGGTCTCTTTACGCGCAAATCACTCTCATATTTACTCGTATATTTACGAATGTTTCATGAATGAGACCCACTGTGTGTAAAGGTTTTAGTTCCAGCATCAGTGATCCTGCAGTTCTCGTGTGTGTTTGTTTGCTGCATCTGGACTCTGTTTGTTGACTGGGATGTAATGAGGTGTAGATGAACTATATCAGAGATGCTGAATGTTGCACCTGGTCCTCAGACACACTGTGTGTGTGTGTGTGTGTGTGTGTGTGTGTGTGTGTGTGTGTGTGTGTGTGTGTGTGTGTGTGTGTGTGTGTGTGTGTGTGTGTGTGTGTGTGTGACGGTCGCCTCACTAATGGAGTGTGTCGGCATGCTATAGTCACTGCGAGAGAGACCGATTCCTCGTTCTTTGTTTGTTATTGGGTTTTCTCTCCTCGTCCGGTACGTTATGTTCCCTAGCGAGTGCATCTCAGCGTCGAGCGTAAATATTGTTCTCTTCAATCATTGTCAATGTCATGCTTTACTGTTTAAAGATGCCAACTGGACGTCCATAACAGAAATACTTGAATCCAGTTTGTTTTATTATCATAGCTATTACTTCCACATGTGAACACACTTGATGATATTATATTTTAGTATCATTATATTCTATTATGATTATTATTTATGTTTTCATTTTGATTTTAGTTTAAGTTTTAATAAATGCTTTTGTTATTATTATACTTTTTTTTCCATTAGCAGTCAAAAGTTTGGAATAATTAAGATTTTGAATGTATTCTCCGCTCACCAAGGCTGCATTTATTTGATTAAAAATACAGTAAAAATAGTGAAATATTATTACAATTTAAAATAACGGTTTTCTATGTGCATATATCATAAAGTGTAATTTATATCCTGTGATCAAAGCTGAATTTTCAGCATCATTACTCCAGTCTTCAGTGTCACATGATCCTTCAGAAATCACTCTAATATGATGATCTGATGCTCAAGAAACAATTATGATTATCAATATTGAAAACAGTCGGGCTGCTTCATATTTGTCTGGGAACCGTCATAAACTAAGGATTATTTTGTTTCAAAAAAAGAAATGAATGCTTTTATTCATCAAGGACGCATTAAAATGATCAAAAGTGACAGTAAAGACATTTATAATGTTATACAAGATTATATTTCAAATAAATGCTGTTCTTTTGAACTTTCTATTCATCAACGAATCCTGAAAAATAAAATGTATCACAGTTTCCACACAAATATGAACCGTTTTCAACATCGATAATATTATCAATAAATGAGGACTGATAATAATTAAGCAGGAATTAATGTAGCGTTAATATTTCTATTTAGCTTTATTTGAGTTTTTAGTAATGTTAGTGCTTCGACTTAAGCTTGTTTGCCATTTCTAACTTTCGCTTAGATTTATAATCATTTTAATTTCAAATTTACAACAGATGTGATCAGTGTGTGTGCTGTGCATCAGTCGTGTCTCTCCAACACTATTGACCTCCGCTTCAATGATTATAATGAGTGTGTGAAGGTGTTATTAGCCGTCAGTCGTTGAGGTTTTGATCATTCGCTCTAAAACGAACCATCTTTCGCCTCATATTTAGTCACTGACAGATGATGCGGTTGGTGTGTGTGTCGTAAAGCGTCTTTATAATGGATTTCTGGTGTCAAACATCTGCTCTGAGTGTGTGTGTGTGTGTGTGTGTGTGTGTGTGTGTGTGTGTGTGTGTGTGTGTGTGTGTGTGTGTGTGTGTGTGTGTGTGTGTGTGTGTGTGTGTGTGTGGTGACGCCGAGTTTCGTCCGATGAGGCCAGTGTGTCTTTGGGCGGCATGAAGGTCAAATATTCACGGCATATTTGTTATGATGCAGCACGCTTTATTAATGCGCTGTCAGCAATGTCATCATCAGAGACAATCACTGACAGCTTTATTTATTCTCGGAGAACGACTTTATAATAGTGTTTTCATTCAATTCCTGGATTTTCATTTCCTGCGTCCAAATGAACACTTTAAAGTCAGCATGAAACGACATTCACAACATGCTTTTCTTCTGTGATGTGAAAGAATATTCAATTGGAAATAATGTAGGACAGAACATTGTTTTATTTATTATTAGGCTGTGATATTATCGTAGTTTATTAATGCAGCTTATACAGGTGAAACTCGAAAAATTTGAATATCGTTCATTTATTTCAGTAATTCAACTTAAAAGGTGAAACTAATATATTATATAGACTCATTACATGCAAAGTGAGATATTTCAAGCCTTTATTTGTTATAATTTTGATGATTATGGCTTATGAAAAACAATATTCTAATTTTGAATTTGGGGTTTTCATAGCTGTGAACCATAATCATAACAATTATAACAAATAAAGGCTTGAAATATCTCACTTTGCATGTAATGATGAGTCTATATAATATATTAGTTTCACCTTTTAAGTTGAATTACTGAAATAAATGAACTTTTGCACGATATTCAAATTTTTCGAGTTTCACCTGTATGTGTTAGTGATCTGAACAAATGCCACTCATTTTCATATGATGTATAATGTTTGTTAATATTATTTCGGCATATTCTGACAAGCTGTTTTCAGAGGTGGAGAAAGTAATTTTTTATGTAAGATAAGATACTGATTAATCATCCATAATCAGATTAGACTAAGGTCAAAGTTTTGAAATAATCAAGAATTTACAAAAAAAAAGGTTATTCTGCTCACCGAGGCTGCATTTATTTACGGTAATCAAAAAATACAGTAAAAACTGTGAAATATTATTATAATTCAAATCAGCTGTTTTCTATGTGAATATATAGTAAAGTGTAATTTATTCCTGTGATTTTCAGCATCATTACTCCAGTCTTCAGTGTCACACGATCCTTCAGAAATCACTCTAATATGAGGATCTGATGCTCAAGAAACATTTATGATTATTATTATCAATGTGTATCAAAATGTATCAAAAGAATAAATAATAAATGCTGTTCTTTTGAACTTTCTGTTTGTTAAAGAATCCTGAAAAATAAAAATGTATCCCGTTTTTCACAAAAACATGAAGCAGCAAAAGTGTTTTGAACACTGATAATAATCATAAATGTTTCTTGAGCATCAAATCATGATTTCTGAAGGATCATGTGACGCTGAAGACTGGAGTAATGATGCTGAAAATTCACAGGAATAAATTACACTTTACTCTATATTCACATAGAAAACAGCTGATTTGAATAATAATAATATTTCACAGTTTTTACTGTATTTTTGATTAAATAAATGGTGAGCAGAAAAGACATTAACATTAAATGTCTTTAAAATATGATTTTAATTAATTATTTGATTTTTACTCAGATTTGATTGTAAATAAAGTGTGGTTTGCATTGTCTCAGGGTCACACAGCGATGCTGAACGACGGCTGCTGGCATCCCAAGATTAAAGAGGAGTTTCTGACCTGCTCCAACGACGGGTGAGTGGAGCTAACGAGCTCGTTACACTGATCACATGTTCATATCTCCACCTGAACAACAGCACGCGTGATTCGTGACGCTGAAGGAAACTCCATCGCCCTCTCTCGTGTTTTGAGGTTTGTTTCCGCCACAGTCATTTCGCATACTTGAGGATGTTCGTGTCTTTCTAAAAACCATTTGTTCTGGAGGTTTAACACATAATCCCAGGGGGTTGTGGGGCATTTCACTGGGATTGTTTTGAGTGATCCAAGTTTCATTTTAGTCACTGAAACTTTCCAAACAACATGGAGCCAATTGCATGATTGCCTTAATCAAATTTAAAGTTTATTCTCTGAAATGTATTGCATTCTCATAACTGCATGTTCAACAAATCACATTTTAATGGTTTTCTTTTCATTAAAATAGCATCTGTAAAATTCATCTAAAATAGCAAAATAGAGTCTGATTCGGATTCAAGAATCACTCCATAAGAATCATTTGTTCATATGAATCAGTATTTTATCCAGTCAGTAAGTGAGTCCTGATTCAGATTCAGTGAGTCATTTGTTAGTTTGTTTCAAACAATAGCACTCTTTCTTTTTGACCAAATTTAGAATCTGTTCATAAGAGTAATTTTTTTTTCCAGTCTTTTTAATCACATTTTAATGTTTTCCATTTATGGCAGTCATCCAGTCTGATTCAGATTCAGTGAGTCATTTGTCAAACTGTTTTTTTTTTACCAATTCAAGAATCAGTTTATAAGAGCCAATTGTTCATAAGAGTCAGTCTGTTTGATCACATTTTATTATTTTTATCAAATTAAATCGTGTTATGGCAGTCATTCAAGTCAGTAAGTGAGTCTGATTCAGATTCAGTGAGTCATTTGTCAGACCAATTCGTTTTTTGACTAATTCAAAAAATTTGTACACAAGGGTAATTTATTCATACGAATCAAGTCTTTATGATCACATTTCATTTGTTGTTATCGAATTAATAAAACAGTCATCTGTTCAGTGAGTCTGATTCAGATTCAGGGAATCATTTGTCAGAATGGTCCTTTCAAGAATCACTTCATAAGAGTAATTTGTTTAGAAGAGTCTGTATATTTTCATTTTTCTTTTTTTCCCTTCAATTATCCAGTCTATAAGTGAGTCCTGGTTCAGATTAAGAGATTCAGTGAGTCATTTGTTAGTCTGATTCAAACAATAGCGCTCTCTGTCTTTTTGACCAAATTAAGAATCTGTTCAAAAGAGTCTTTATAAGAATAAATCCTTTTAATTGCATTTTAATGTTTTCCATTAATGGCAGTCATCCAGTGAGTCTGATTCAGATTCAGTGAGTCATTTGTCAAACAGTGTATTTGACCAATTAAATAATATGTTCATAAAAGCCAATTGTTTATAAGAATCAGTCTGTTTGATCACATCTCATTGCTTTAATTGAATTAATTTGCATGATGGCAGTCATCCAGTCAGTAAGTGAGTCCTGGTTCAGATTCAGAGATTCAGTGAGTCATTTGTTAGTCTGATTCAAACAATAGCTCTCTCTGTCTTTTTGAATCCAAGAATAATTAAATCATAAGAATCAGTCTTTTTGACCACATTTTAATGTTTTTCACGAATTAAAATAGCATTTAAGGCAGTCATCCAGAGAGTTTTTCTTTTTTTCCATAAGAATAATTTGTTTAGAAGAATTTTCTTTCTTTTTTTCCCCTTCAATTATCCAGTCAGTAAATGAGTCCTGGTTCAGATTCAGAGATTTAGTGTAGCTCTCTGTCTTTTTGACCAATTAAAGAATCTGTCCATAAGAATAATTTATTATTAAGAATCTTTTTGATCAGATTTTAATGTTTTTCAATGTTTAACATCTCAAGTAGAATATAATTCATTTTGTCATGAGACATTCAGCCGAATGCATTTCTACCAGTGTTTTCCGTTCAGATGTTTCAGTGTTCACAGCCTCGAAACTACAGGCCTGTGAAATGTTACATGCGTGTAAACCTTTGCCCTGCGTCAGATTATGTCCTCGTTGTGTTCCCCTATAAAAGTGCGCTGTTTTACTGCGTTTAGGGGCGTCGCCGGTGAATGTTTGAGTCGTGTTCACTGGGCGCACAGATGTGGCTCTGTTTTATTCAGTTGTAATATAGATTCTGGAAGGCTTCCCTTGGCACGTTTCAGCGCATGTCGCAGGCGCTTTCAGAGGAGGAAAGCGTTTAGGTTGAGGAACAGCTGCAGATGTGTATCGGGAACACATGTGTCCTGTGATCCGCTGGTGTGGCGCTCGGCTACAAATCTCAGGGTGGAGGTTAAAGCGCTAGTTCACCCAAAAATTAAAATGACCCCATGATTTACTCACCCTCAAGTCATCCTAGGTGTAAATGACATTCTTCTTTCAGACGAATATAATATGAGTTATATTAAAAAATGTCCTGGCTCTTCCGAGCTTGATAATAGGAGTGAATGGCCGTTTCTGTTTTGAAGTCTATAAAAGTGCATCTATCCATGATAAAAGTGCATCTATCCATGATAAAAGTGCATCTATCCATCATAAAAGTGCATCTATCCATGATAAAAGTGCATCTATCCATCATAAAAGTGCATCTATCCATGATAAAAGTGCATCTATCCATCATAAAAGTGCATCTATCATCATAAAAGTGCATCTATCCATCATAAAAGTGCATCATCTATCCACGATAAAAGTGCATCTATCCATGATAAAAGTGCATCTATCCATCATAAAAGTGCATCTATCCATGATAAAAGTGCTTTAATGATGGATAGATGCACTTTTATGATGGATAGATGCACTTTTATCATGGATAGATGCACTTTTATGATGATAGATGCACTTTTATGATGGATAGATGCACTTTTATCATGGATAGATGAACTTTTATGATGGATAGATGCACTTTTATGATGGATAGATGCACTTTTATCATGGATAGATGCACTTTTATGATGATAGATGCACTTTTATGATGGATAGATGCACTTTTATCATGGATAGATGAACTTTTATGATGGATAGATGCACTTTTATGATGGATAGATGCACTTTTATCATGGATAGATGCACTTTTATGATGGATAGATGCACTTTTATGATGGATAGATGTACTTTTATGATGGATAGATGCACTTTTATGATGGATAGATGCACTTTTATGATGGATAGATGCACTTTTATGATGGATAGATGCACTTTTATGATGGATAGATGCACTTTTATGATGGATAGATGCACTTTTATCATGGATAGATGCACTTTTATGATGGATAGATGCACTTTTATGATGGATAGATGCACTTTTATCATGGATAGATGCACTTTTATCATGGATAGATGCACTTTTATGATAATCGTGTTAAATAATCGTGATTTCAATACTGACCAAAAATAATCGTTATTTAAATTATGATTTTTTTTGCCATAATCGAGCAGCCCTACTTTATATATCATAATGATGACTATTTTTGTTTGGGATGTAATTTTCTGACCGACATGGGAAGCTCATTTAGTTTGCAACAAAATGCGGTGTCAAAGAGAATTATGGGAAATATAGTTTTGTCTTGCAAGTTTTTCGAATGAATAGTGTTTTCTGTCCAGCTTTATCAACTGTCACAACATGTGGATGAACTAAATACTCTTACGAGACTCTATAACGTTCAAAAGTTTGACTTTCCAAGAGTACAAAAATACAGTAAAAATAGTGAAATGTTATTCCAATGTAAAATCGCTGTTTTCTAAGTAAATATATAGTAAAGTGTAATTTATTCCTGTGATCAAAGCTGAATTTTCAGCATCATTACTCCAGTCTTCAGTGTCACATGATCCTTCAGAAATCACTCTAATATGATGATTTGATGCTCGAGAAACAATATATAATTATATTGAGTATGTAATTTCTTTCAACTAACCACAAATGGTAGTGTATATCCAATACCACATAGATCCTCCATTCATTTTTTACGGATAGTCTTGTATTTCATGCATTATTTGTGTGGCGAACCGTTCCTTTAACAGATTCTGGTCTTCTCTTCTAGAGCTCGTCTCAGCACACACACGTACGGGCATTGATCGTTCACAGCGCCGCAGCTTTGAGTGTGAATAATAGCGATAATAGTTATTCATCTGACCACCCTGGCACATCTATTGTAAGCCAGACTTTCTATAGCAGCACTTCTCAAAGTCCGGACTCAGGGAATTCAATGCGGACCCGCCTCCATTTCATATTTCAAGAGCACTAATTGTGTGTAAGGGATTAAAAGTGTGGATTTCCTACTTTGATAAACGCGTGTTAAAATCATGTAAGTCTTTTTGGAGATAGTCCGAAATGAAAGCGAAGGCAAGATACAGGTGAAACTCGAAAAATTAGAGTATCGTGCAAAAGTTAATTTATTTCAGTAATTCAACTTAAAGGGTGAAACTAATATATTATATAGACTCATTACATGCAAAGTGAGATATTTCAAGCCTTTATTTGTTATAATTTTGATGATTATGGCTTACAGCTTATGAAAACCTTTTCACAATATTCTAATTTTGATTTTGGGGTTTTCATAAGCTGTAAGTCATAATCATCACAATTGTGGACGGAGATCCAGCACAAAGCCCTTCTGTTTGATTTATAACGAGACTGGTGAAGAAGAGTGGAAATGTCAAACGCCACTATGAAACAAAACACAGACATTTTGAATGGCAATATCCACAAAATATTTGATAGGTATTTTGCAACATGTTACTATTTTGGCCTACCTCTTGTTTTGTTTTGTTTCAAAAAAAAAAAATGCTGACACTTAAACTAATTGTTTTGACACTTTTGCACTTGTTATTAATGCATTTTTAAATGCAAAAGGCACTTTATTAAAAAAACTAAAATCAGGGTTCCCGCGGAGTCTTAAAAAGTCTAAAAAAGACTTAAATTCAGAAAGTGAAATTTAAGGCCTCAAAAAGTCTAAAAAACACAAGTTTAGGTCTTAAATTTAATTTACCCAAGTCTTAAAATTCTTACCTC